GTTAATAATATGCGTAGATGGTGTGAGAGAATTTGTCTCTGTTAACCCTCGAATGGCGAATGGTTTTGTTGGCGTGGGTCCGTTTCAACCCCCATTTATCATTCCTTCTAAATGCATTCTTGAACAAATTTCTTTGTGAATTAGCTTTCTTTTTATTTTAACTGGTATAAACAATTACTAACTGAAAGTATTTGTCGAAAATTGTTTAGTTGGATGAAATTCTTGAAAACTCAGGTCAAAATGATCCAATCGTCGTCATTTGACGATTAAAGTATCACCAAAATTTGAAACCGTCTAAGCACAACGACGTTGTACAGTTCCACCTTTCTGATGTATTCGATGTTTATTCGGATGCACCGGCAGCACTATTTGCCAGTCGGAGTTGATGTACCCACGGTTGAGCGTGTATTTGCATGTGCGCACATAGTTCGAGCTGCGGGCGGTCTAATTCGAAAATAAACATTTCCGATCAATTAGCCTACGTAATGTCTCCTATTAACTAACAATTTCGCTATTAGATCAGGGTGATGACGCGCCAGTAAAATATCGCGTAACAGAAACGAACATTCCGTAATCGATAATGTTTCGAATTTATTCGTAATCAGTAGTAATTTGTAATATTAATACTACACATTACATTTATTGTGGATATTCAATCCATATTAACGATGCGTTATATCATTAATAATTTGGAAATTACTCGAGTAAACGTGTTCACAATAATACGGGTCGCAAATATAATTTCTTACGCTAAAGAGAAGATATTTATTTATGTAGATGAATAAACTTACTTTATATACGTTAATTAATACACAAGAACGATTATTAATGGATCACATGAAAGGAAAAGAGAAATATGTTTTAGAGTATGTATTTACTGTTGTGATATTATCATTGCCAGATAATAGAGCGAGTAACATTCCACTGAACGGAAAAACGTAATTATTCGTAATACCTACGCTACTGACTATTAATATTCATTCCACGATTCCTACAACCGTGACTATCTATTCCGCGCCCAAGAACAAGCTATCGCAAACCAATGATTATTGATAATGCGACGCAAGCTGAAATCGAAAACTCTAATTGTCCACCGAGACATATACCTTTCCTGTTCCTACCTTAATATTTAAAAATTGGAATACTTCCGTTACTAAATTCTGTAATATTTCTATACTTTTAACCTTCTTGTACTTAACAACATTCTGCCGTCCTTAATACATAATTACTTAATTTTCACGTAGGACAACAGCATTTACTCAATCTTGTCCTTCGCCGTGGGTCAAATGATTTATTCATGCAAACATGCTTTGCAAAGTGTACTGTTACCATGATACGATAAATTAAATACAATATACCCAGCAGGATATAAAGTGACATTCGTTTCCTTCTATTTAACTGCGCCTAAAGGACCGATATGTGCTCTTCGAGAGGGAGAAGGGGGGGGGGGGGGATAGCCGATTCGTGATCCACCAACAACTAACTAATCTCGGCAATTTGCGTGGACACCGAGGGACGCGTATATATTTACTACAGACACCGACACGCTCGCGTCATGCCGTGTGATTTATATGACGCGACCCGTTATAATGCCGGTCGACCATAATGCCATTCTATGGGACTGGGATGCGCGCAGGAAGTGACATGAAGAGCGGCAACCCACGTGGTAACGACTGTGTGCGGTTCACCAATGTCCTCTTACTGCCGGTGAACGCTATTATGCCCCATCCCCCATCGTTGCTCGATGCACTGTTCGAAACGCCAATAAAAGTAATCTCTAGATATCTACCGGCGAAAAAAAATAGACTAAAATGAAAAATTTTTCATGAGAAGAATAAAAACAATTCGAAAGAAGTGAATCTACGCGTGATTCTACGAATTTTTTGTATCATTCTTGAACCTAAGTCTATGGATGATTCTTGAAGCTGACACTGTGGATTATTCTTTGTGTAATATGGTTCTTTCTTTTTAACTCTTCCGTTGCTATTGACGCTTATAGGCGTTTCGAACATTCGTTCAGAATGTGCTGTCGGTGCCTATAGGTGTTCAACCGATATCGTTCACCAACAAAGGTTCGGGTGCTGTGTTCTCGACAACGACTGTTACAACGCGCTAATTATTTGCACAATTTGCAAGAGTATACTATTATGATCGTTGTAACGTTGTTACGATCGTTGTAAAAATTTTGGTACTACACACGGTTTACGTTAGAATATGCCACAGCGAAAAAGTTCACTCTTTTCAATTCATTCCTTTAAGTCCAAAGCAACGAACAACTGTAATCAGTACTGCATAGAAGCATAATAATAACGATAATAATAATCAGGAATGATATTATACGAGCAAAGGAAAACAAAGGGGTTGGAGTGGGGTAAGCCAGGAATCTAATGGAATTAGGATTTCGATGCGCTCGGTATTATGCGAAACAGGGCAACGTTTTCTCGGGGGAGAGTCTCGTTCACGGAATTCGAAATTTCGAAACCCCACCGGGGACCGAAATCGCGGGGCCGTGGCGGATCGCGAAACTCACGGAAATGAATCATACACGATAATACGAGCTCACGATAGGAATGAAAGTTTGTTAAGTGCTTGATCACGTTCCGAGCCAGCCACGCAAAATAAATCCAACGGTTAATTACAAAGAGCCGGTAATAAACTGAACATAAATCTCCTTTTAAATTGATCCGATTTTCTGGGGTCTAAAGTATGCTAAGGGAGTTGAAAAAGAGGAACGAATGACCCGGTCCCGGAGACGGGAGCGAGGTCTCGGGAACGAGAAAGATAATCGACGATGGTCGGGATGGGGAGTGGGGTTAGCTGGAAAGTTACAAGAACCGGAGACCCCGAGTTTACTCGATTTGGCAAGTTCGGTATTCACTCGCGTCGCACCCCCCCCCCCCCCCCAACAGTCTACGGGCAAAGTATGTGTCGTCTTCGTTGAATTTCAAAAGATCCTGCAAATCGAATATGCCCCACCATGAATCTTTTCATTCAAATAGCACGAGGCACACAAGAGAATCTTGGTATCCCAAAAGTTCTGATTTTTATTTAAAATTCGCAAGTTTTCATTTTTACCGACATTCGGATCTTCAGGGTGAAACGATCCCTTAAAGGTTAATACGTGTTTATATACGTTTTCATATTGTTCTGTATATCTTGAAAACTGAGTTTTTCAAACAAAATAAAGAAAGACAAAAACAAATTTTTAACAATTTCATTACACATTTTTATAGAGCATAAAAGACTATTAACCCTCGAGTACACCGGATATTTTCTTTATGCTCGTACACCGCAGAATCTGATTGTGAAATCAAAAGTAAAAAAAGGATGGTTCTTATTTGAAGGGCCTACTGTCACCGTATAGCTTGAAAGTTTGTGCAGTCGTTATTGCGAATGAAACATTTCATTGTTCGTAGCATCGATCACGGTTAGATATCCGCCGTGTGCTACCCTGTTTACGTTGGAATCTGCCGCAGCGAAAGAGCTAAACTTCAGAATCGTAACAGCGAATAATAAATAAGACACAAGTAAAAGAACGATGAAAGTAACTGTGAAATTTAATTTCGTTTTACACCAGGAAGTGGTAGTCGCAAGGGGGGTATAAAAACTTCCGAACACGTTGACAAGAAAGTTGAAGAACGGGTCGCCTCGTATTCGTGCGGTCACATATTGTTTTTCGCTGAGGCAACGTTGTCTTTGTTGCGGTTTCCAGCCATGATGTGATAAATTTGAGATTCCCTTTTCTTGCATTCCTCGGCCAGCGCAATTCTTTGAGGCCGCTTACATCGGCCGTGAAATTAATTTTGTAAATTTATGCCAAATATTTTCCACATCCGTTTTCTGCTCTTTTGGAATTGTTGCTTCGCGTACACATTCTTGTCGGGATTTTTCGCGGCAATTCGCTTCAGTTTTACGTCCCGAGGTGCATTCGAACGAATTATATTGGACAGTGCAATTTAAAGAAATTCTATATAGCAATGAAAATTGTAAAAAGAAGAATATTACAATTTCATGTCGCGGTAACAATAGGAATGGTTTGAAACTGAAAAACTAATTGCAGACGTGCGTGACAGTTTGTCTGAGGGGTAAGAAAATGTTTCGTGAAGCGATCGCTGACGCTAATGCCTTTTGTAGAAATAATTATCCGCTACGTCTGTTTGCACGTGATAACGTAATTTGAAAGACGATGCCTTCTACTACGTAGGAACTGTAATTACACTTGAGTAAACACAAAGTATTGTATTTCAAATGAACCATTTGAATCAACTACATAAAATCCTTAAAAATGGTGATACCTAATAATTGCATTTTATAATGTTAAATGTCCCAAAAAATATATAATCATAGGTATCATATCTGATACCAGTGAATTTCTCTTTTCATGATACAATTGTTTGACATTGAATGAATTCCTTTGCTTGTTAGTCATGACTAACACTGACAATTACTAACGACATTACCGATCGCTACTGATCTCTGTCTGACCATTAATAATCATTAGTGACTTCCACCCAGCACAATCTGACCTACAGCGACCAAGTAATTGTCACGGACCAACTGCTACTAATCATGATGTCATTTACGGTGACTATATAGTAAACACTAACTGATAGTCCCCACAGTACCTATTTATATTTCGAATTCGCCGAACAATACCGACAATTTCCTGAAATTAGAGTGGACCGTGTAAAATTGAAGCGCGACTAATTCGAAGAAATGTACATATCTGAGTATCCCGAGGGAGATTATCGTCGATATTTAATTATAAATTTGTTCCAACTGTTCGAACAATGCCAGGGGAAATTCTTCCAACCTAAATGAATATTTTTCGATGATTCGAGATAATTGTAATGCGCTGAAAAATACGCACAAAGTGGAGAAAAGAACGTGGAAAAAAAAGGAACATCGAATATGAAACTAGGTCCATTTATAGTTGAAGCTGTTTTAAAGTTGGGCAAAGGAACACTCTCTTTCGTGTTTAACGTCTGTTTTCTACTTACATGTCTCGTGTCAGCCGCAAGAAGGGGCGTGTGTGCCTGCAACAACGAGTGCCCAGAAAATTAGACCACGGTCTCTCACTGTAATACTTGTTTGCTTTACTAGGGAGCTTCATGCTTTAACAAAAACTCTGCTGGACGCGTTCACGAGGATACTAATTCCTCGGAAAAAGGTCATGCTGCCATGCGATGATGCGCGTGAAAATGGGGAGGGGGGGGGGCATGCAAGGGCGCAGATAATAACTACATACCACAGAACTGGGAATCATGTCTAAGATGGGCTTTCCTAAAAATCCTCGCAGATATTGCGAGCCTGAAATTGTTACGTGATTAGACTTTTTCCACGAGCTAAGAATGGCCAGTAAAACTAATGATTCACGTATGATTCACGTCTCTCGGACCAATGGTGCTTCGATTCGTGTCTCTCCATCCTGAGTTGATCCTATTTAGTTCTGTGTTAGCATAACTAGCCTCTCATAAAACTAAATTAATCCGATTTGATACAGACATGTAGATTTCACTGGTATCTCATTTTTAATTTATCCATTTTGGTATTCTCAGTCAAACGAGAAGAAGAAAACACGCACAACGCACATTTTCTTCTCGAATATTTCATTTCCTAAGTCGGGAACAAATGATTGCAGTGATGAGGATAATGGATTTCCATCGTTGAAACGAAGGAAGATAAAACGGAATTATGTAGCTCGTTATCACTGCATGGAAAAGACAGGGGCAGGGGGCCACCGTTGCTACTACTCAACTGGATGATCGAAAGGAATCATTCGTACCTCATTTCCACAAGTTTTTCACGAGACCTTATTCTCGTCCCATTCCGCCCAGCTTCTGTTCAGGGCCCATTCTAATCGAAATTTATTGAAACCTGAATCGATTCGGTGCGTACGTGCCGGCGACTGGGAATCCCCTGGGTGCTATTACGCGAAAGGGAAATTTATTGCGGCTGTATACATGGTATCAAATTTGAACCTCGTAATATTAAAATATCCATGTAACTACTCTGGCCTATAAACGATCTCGTTTACAAGATCACGAAAGAGTATAAAACAATTTAGAATAATCAATAAACATATTAATTTGCCGTAAGGTCCTATTCAGGAATATTTCTCTATTCATGAGAATATGTAACTAGAGTAGCATATAAAAGAAACCTCAGACTTAAATGGGCTCCCGCAGTTACAAACTATTGAAAAGTGATTTACGAAACGATTAAAATTTCCGTCGCAGATACAAACTTCTTCAAAATATAATACACACCGTAGATACCCGTGAATCGTATCGATTCCGTATCATCCTCGTTCGATCGATGGCCCCGGCCACTTTCGAAGCATCGAACCGCGGTGTATGTATCCCGGAACTCGATCATACCGATAAATAACAGCACCGCGAAAAATAACAATAGAGTAAAGATAGCAGATAGGTAATTTCCTTCGTATTTCTTACTTTGTACCATCGAGAACAATGAAAAACGTCTTGGCGGCGGGTGCAACGTGACGTGGAGAGAAAGGTGGCCTATCGCTTCCTTCTCCCCGGTGATCGCGTCTGTCCGCCCTCTCTCCTCCTCGTTTTTCTCATCACGTTCGGGGCTAGAGACGAGATGAGAAGGCGAGCTTCTCCGATTCCAAACGGGGAATAATAATTTCTGAAAATAGAGCAAGTCGACTGTCGACGGCTCGAACCGGCTGATCTTGAAAAGAATTGAAAAGCTGGAACGAAGGAGGCTCATTCAACAAGTTACACCCCCGAAGGAGGCACGTTGCTCACGATAATGCAGTTGCCCGACCACGGAATTCCGACGATTTTGTTATTCATGGGACCGCCAGACGATGCGCTCGAATTTACGCCAAGATTTCATGACGTTCAAGCTGAACGACATCGGGGGTGGAATTGAAATATTGATTTTCGGAAGAATCGGTTAGACCCGGTGTTTGTACAAACGTAAGCTGCCTGGAGAGCTTTTGGAACTTCCTTCGTTTTACCCTAGATTGTTTCCCCTTCTTCGGCTCGGTTACTTTTATTACTCTTTTCTCATATGCACTGTACAGTAAATTCTCGATGACTGTTCGAAGCTCCTCGGCATTGACCGAGGTCCCCACGTGTTACACCGACTTTTTAATGATTAGTACAGTGATAGAGCTTGGAATTCTGATCCAATAATATTTGTTTCAGTCGTATATAGCCATTAGTTTATCAAATATTTAATGTTCAGTGCCGAGGACCCTTTGAACACTCATCGAAGATTCACTGTACTATACGTGTATGATCAATGAGGATAACGATCGGTACAGATCATGGGAATATGTATAAACTGTTTGGACACGGATGATCAACTTCGTGAGTAATCATGAAAATAGATTGGAAGATGCGATGTTGAAAATGTTGAGAGTTTACGTAGAATGTTTAGAAATTATTATAAACACCATCTATACAGTTATAAGTATTAGAAGATTGTTTTAAATGTACAAATCTAAAAGATTTCGCAGAAAAGTCGTTAAATCCCAAATGAGGATCTGTATATGTACACAAAAGGAATATCTACGAGTTTTCGTAGAGGAAAGGTTCCTGTGATAAATCTATGAAACGAAAATACGATAAGAACCACTTACGCGGAATCTTTAAAGAAATCCTAAAGGAAATGTATGGCGGAGACTACCACATTGAACAGATCCATCCTCGGGGAAGGAAAGCCGTTAACTCGGCTACTTTACGACGAAATCTGGTCGTTCTTGTTATTCATAGAGCTGCCAGACGAAATATGAATTGACGCACTCCAACGCGTATAAGCAGGTACGTCCGTGCATATATAGCATACGATATATGCAAAGCGGCGCACGCACACCTGCGCGGATATGCACGCAAGAAGCGACAAATTAAACGGCGAAATCGCATTTCACGTCGGTAAAATATTTTTTCAATAGCGATCACCGACACCGTGCGCAAATTATATTTCAGAGAAATGTATTTCGGCGACGATGAATAATTTGAAATTCATTGTAAAAATTGCAATTACATTTCACGTGCTATATTTCACATCGATATAAGAATTTTCATGTTCTACAAAATTTTTTAGGTTGATATTAACATGGACCTGTATTTGTCAGTATGCCGATGTAATATAGACACAGTAAAACTGAGACACGATAGAGCGAGAGAAACGAGAAAGCCAGTATTTTGCAAAAGCAGTTTGCAAACAATTCGATCGTCCGTCAGTTTGTCTTTCTGCGAGCGATTTACACGATGATTCTATTGACGGTTCGAGCTGCACTCTGCGCCACACCTCGTATCACCTTCGTGAAATTCAATGTTCAGATTTCCCCATGGGACAAGCTCAGCGTTCCATCCAGGAAATACGACAGTCCGTACGGGGACGGAAATAAAATAAAATAACAACGATACGAGTATTGATAATGTTGTCATTACGGGAACGTAACTGGGTTAAAACAATATTTTAACGAGCAGAAAAGTCTTCTTTTTAACCTCTCTTCGTAGGTTCCGAATAAAAATGGAAAAACCTTCTTTAAAAAAGCCAATTTCGAAATACCTACAAAAAACACACGCTATAATTTCTAAGAGTCCGTGAAAGATCTTGATTACCAACTCTCGTTCGCGAGTTTCACCTTTTTATGTTTTAGACAGTGCATCAATTAAACACTTTCCTTGGTTTCCTTTTTCAAAACTCAACGTTATATTCTATGAACATGTCGAACGTAGACTTCGAATGCCACATTTGTATATATTGAAGACCATATAATAAAAACAAGAAAATAGAACACAATCTCCTTTCTGAAGTCAAGAAAAACATTATGAGTGAATTTAGCTATTTAATTACCACTTGTATATTTTCAAGTCATTCTTATCGCTAATCCTCTAACCATTTTGAATAATGTATTCAATCTAGAAAGAGATCTGGATTGTCTTTCCAGTTCTCGAAGAAAAATCGAATTAGTAATCAAACAAGCTAAACTTTGACTTGTCTCTGTCAACTTATTTCTCTTAACAAGTCAATCTGAACATCGAAGACAACGTCCTGTCACCGTTGTTTAGAAAACAAAGAGGACGGGTTCGTGGACGGGAGGAGGAATGTGTTACCTTTGAAAAGCTTCTTCGAGCTAGTATCGTGTGCTTTCCTTCGTTCTGGCCGCTGGGAGAAACGGAGGAGAAAAATGTAGCGGCGAGAAGCGGGGACAGAAAAAGATGGAGCAGGCCTGAATGGCAATTAATTACAAGGGAACGCTCTGGCGTCGCTGGAAGCTCTCAACTCGCGATGCGCGGTGGAATATGAAATTCAATTAGCTTGTACGTGAGCTCACTTCCGGACCGGTCTTCCAGAGAATTAAAGGCTTCGCCCGCAAGCTTCTTCTGTGGTTTTTCGAAAAGTTTTTGCTCCCTCGCTGGGGGTACTCTTACTCTCGGGGCAATTATTTTAGCTTCGTTGAAAAAGGAAGCTTTTTGTTTGCGCAATTACGCGAATTTCTCGTGTCAACTTCCGTTATGAAACAAACCGTGTAATAACCAAGAGCAATATTTAGCGACTTATAATTCAAATTTGTTTCTTCTTACATACGTCACTAAGGATAGTTGATTTCCAGCAGATTTCCAGAAGCGATTCGTACGACCTCTATCTGTACTGTCACAAATTACCCACTTCGTTATCTTCCGCACGAAGGAGCCACATCTTGCCCTAGCACCGCTAGCAGAAAATTAGTTTGGTCCCGGTCCAGGAAGAAGTTTCGAAAAACTTTTCGTTTGCCGGAGGAACAACTTCGTTTGGTATTCATCTAGAGCTGTCGCATTCTTTTTGTCCTGGCGTGCACATTCGGAGGGGAATGTAATAAAATTCATCATGGTGACCATGGTTAACTGGTACAGTGGTTCTACAAGGTGGTTCAAATGTGCAGACAGTTTCGATTTTGTGTAACATTGAAACTTCGCGTTTCCACGTGAAATATACAGGATTGGCAAACAAGTGTATTTGAAATTTGCTGATTTATTTACAAAGGGAACAGAAATTTCAATCAAACACG